GAGGATGGGGGGGGAGGAGGGCGAGGGGGGCGAGGACGAGAGGGAGGACGAGGAGGAGAGGGGGGAGGGGGGGGACGAGGAGGAGGGGGAGGACGAGGAGGAGGGGTGAGGAGGGGGGCGGAGGGGGAGAGCGGTGAGGCTGGTGAGGACGACGGCAAAGGCAGTGGTGACGATGGGGGAGGAGAAGCACGAGGTGAACAAGGAGGAGAAGGAGGAGGAGGTAGAGGAGGAGGAGGAGAAGGATACTGATATGGATGAGCAGGAAGGAGAACGGTGACCTCGGTGAGGATGCAGGCTCAGGATGAGGAACGTCGACGCCCATCATGTGCAGGTAGTAGACGATGTTCTGCTTCTGCTGGTCGGTGCAATTCAACATGGCCTGGCGTGCATCTGACGCCAGGCCGACGTCGGTCCGACGTCGGTCTGACGTCGGTGTGACGTCAGGCCGACGTAGGACTGACGTCAAACCGATGTCGATTTGGCGTCATACCGATGTCGGTATGACGTCAGACCGACGTCAGACCGACGTCAGACCGACGTCGGTCTGACGTCAGACCGACGTCAGACCGACGTCAGACCGACGTCGGTCTGACGTCAGATCGACGTCAGATCGATGTCAGACCGATGCAGGTCTGACGTCAGACCGACGTCAGACCGAAGTCAGACCGATGTCAGACCGTCAGCGAACCGTCAGACCGAAGTCAGACCGACGGTCAGGCCGATTCCTCCTCCTCCTCCTCCTCATCCTCTTGTCCCTTCCTATCACCCTCTTGCCCCTCCTCCTCATCCTCCTCCTCCCACTCTTGCTCATGCCACTCCTCCCTCTTCCTCTTGCCCCGCCTCCTCCTCCCTCCTCCTCCGCCCCCTCATCCTCCCCTCCTCCTCCACCTCCCTCCTTCTTTTCCTCCTCCCCTCCCTCCTCACATCCCCTCCTCCTCCCCTCCCCTCGTCGCCGTCGTCATCCGATGCCTGGCGGCGCCGCACGGGGTTGTCGCGCAAGCGCCTGAGGTGCTTGTACACGCACGACAACTTGTCAGCGAGGCTGCCGCCTCGCTCCTCAGGGCTCCCAGCTGGTTCCCTGGAAGCCCGAGGGTACCTCGCGGACAATCATCCCTCTCACCCGATTCATCATCATCGTCATCATCAACATCTTCATCATCAGCATCAGCATCATCAACATCATCATCATCGTCAACATCCCCATCATCCCCATCGTCATCATCATCATCATCACCAGCAGCATCATCATCAGCAGCATCATCGCCATCAGCACCACCATCATCATCACCATCAACATCACCAACATCAACATCAACCTCCTCATTATACCCCTCATCCTCACTTCCTCGTCATCCTCCTCGTCGCCCTCCTCTTACTCCCACCCTCCTGTCCCCCTCATCCTCTCATCATCCTCATCATCATCCTTCTCCTTCTCACATCCTCCTCCTCCTCCTCCTCCATGCTCCATCCGCCTCCATCCTCCTCCACCCTCCTCTTCTCATCCTGCTCCTACTCCTCGTCCTCCTCATCATCATCGTCCCTCCTCTCCTCCTCCTCCTCCTCCTCTCCTCTTCCTCCCCCCATCCTATCAGCATCCCCCTTCTCCTCCTCATCCCATCCTCCTCTCCTCCTACTCCTCCTCCGTGGGTTACTCGGTCAGCACCGCGACGCAAGCGTCGCGCAGCTGAGCCCAGGGCGGCTCGGCCTCGGGCGAGTTCCGAAGCAGCACCTCCACCTGGGCATGAAATCACTAGGAAGTGACGACGACAAGGAGGAGGACGAGCAGGAGCAGGAGGATGAGGAAGAGTGTAAACATGAGGTGGGGAGGACGAAGGTGAGGAGGAGGAGGGGAGGGGGGGTCGGAACTTCAGGGGTGAGGAGGAGGGCGAAGGTGATGGCAAGGGGTGAGGGCGAGGGCGAGGGGTGTGAGGGGACGAGGGGTGAGGAACAGCAGGAGGAGGGGTGTTGTAAGCCCGCCCGCCAGCTCGGGGTTCTTAGCCAGCGACGGTCCATGGGCGGCCTTATCTTTGGTAAGGGTGTGGTAAAGGCCTAGTCCGAATGCTCTCGCACAGCCGACGGACGCCGTGTGCTCCTTCAGCCCCTGCTCCAGGTCCCCACTCAAGGGAACCGAAGGACGACGGGGCAGGGGCTGGGACTTGCAAGCCCTGGGAGACACACGAGGGGCGAGACAGGACATCGAGGGGTCCGAAAGGGCCGATCGACAGGGCCCGAGATCTGGACTAGCCAAATGGCTTTGGTGAGGAGGAGGAGGAAGAGGAGAAAAGGAGGAGGAGGAGGAGGAGGAGAAGGAGGATGAAGAGGAGGAGGAGGAGGAGGGATGAGGAGGAGGGGGAGGAGGAGGAGGAGGAGGGGAAGGAAGAGGGGGAGGAGGAGGAGGAGGATGAAGACATCATCACCACCATCTCCATCATTATCATCATCAACATCATCATCATCATCATCATCATCACCATCACCATCATCAGCATCGTCGTCATAACCGTCGGCATCAGCATCGTCATCATCATCGTGATCGCATGGTAATCCCATCCACCCGTATCGCGAAGTCCACGGTGGCAGACAAAAACCATCGTCATCATCCACCCGTATCAACACCACATCCAACATCACCGTCAACATCGCAATGTTCATCATTTTCATCATCAGCATCATCAGCATCATCACCATCACCATCATAGGGCCTCTACAGCGTCGGCCGCTACAGCTTCGGTGTCCTCGTCGTCATCATCATCATCATCATCGTCGTCGTCGTCATCATCATCATCATCATCATCATCATCATCATCGTCACCATCGTCATCATCATTATCATCATCATTATCATCATCAGCACCATCGTCATCATCATCCCCATCATTCCCTCCCAGCTGTTCCCCAGGGAAACGAGCAAGCGCGCGCGGCCCTTCCCGTCCTCCCGTGACTCATACTCCTCCCCATCCTCCTCCTCCTCCTCCTCCTCCTCCTGCTCCTCGTCCATCTCCTTACCCTCCTCCTCCTCCTCCTCCTTTTCCTCCTCCTCCTCCTGTACCTCCTCCTCATCACAATCACCATCCAGGGGCCGCTACAGCGTCGGTCCTCGTCGTCATCATCAACATCATCATCACCATCGTATCATCATCTTCAACATCATCATCACTATCACCATCACCATCACCATCGTCATCACCATCCCCATCACTCCTCCCAGCTGCTCCCCAGGGAAGCATGCAAGCGCGCGCGGCCCCTCGCGTCCTCCCAGGTTGGCAAGCAAGCGCGCGAGGCCCCTCCCGTCCTGCCGTGACTCCTCCTCCTCCCCATCCTCCTCCTCTTCCTCCTCTTCCTGCTCCTGCTCCTGCTCCTCCTCCACCTTATTACCCTCCTCCTCCCCCACCTCCTCATCCGCACTATTATAATTATGTACTAGACTTTGTGATGACGATGTTCTTGATGATGATGAATGTTGACGAATACGATTGTGATTGTTACGGTGGTGGTGATGATGATGACCATGATCATGATGGATGATGAAGGTGATGATGATTATGATGGTGATGCTCGTGAAATGATGATGATGCGTATGATCACCTGAATCCGAAACGCCAAAACACGAATCTGACAAATCGACCTGTTTGGTCTGACGGCAACGGTCGGTCGCGACCGGTCGCGCCCGGTCGCGACCGATCTCCGCGACCGGTCGCGACCGGTCGCGCCCGGTAACCGTTCCCGAAAAATTTCGGGAACGACGAAACGACCGAGACCGTCGGTCGCGACCGAAAATTTTCGGTAACGCATGATCTGGGCCCCCCGTGGGGGGAGCACCCCCTCCCTGGCGAAACTCTCCCCTTTGCTTCCTGGCCTCCCGCGCACCTCGGGCCCCCCCCCCCTCGGGTGCTGCTAGAAGTGCCCCTGGCCCAACGTGCCCCCAGGATTTCCAAGGAGGCCCCCACGGCCTCAGGAGCACCCCTCGCGAGGCCCAGAGGGCCCCAGGTGGCTGGGGCACCTTGGGCCAGGGGCACTTCTGGCAACACCCGACCTTCAGGGTCGGCAGCACCGGCCCCAAGGCCCGAGGGCTCCCAACCGGGATCAAAGTTAATGGGGTCGGAGGAACGCTCCGCGTCGCCGATGCATTGCGGATGTATCGGCGATGCATCGGCGACGTCGCCGATGCATCGGCGCCGTCGGCGTTGCGAAAATCGGGCTCCACATCGAGCCGCATCGCCGATGCATCGGCGATGGGACACGAGCGTCTGCCACCATCTACTCGGACCCCATCTGGGAGACCTAGCGTTGGACGTTGACGCTTGATCCGCCAATAGCAATCCTTACGACCCCCATTCGCTAAAGGCTCCGATCTTCAGCTCGCTCTTCCCGACGATTGGGCTGCTTAGGTTTGCTCCTACCCTGCGAGCATTACCCCCTCCTCCGTCGCCCCAGAGACACAGATCGGGTCCGCTTCCCCTCAACAAGCTTCAAGCCTAGGGAGCAGCTCCTGCCGATCTTCGTACAGGAGGAGCTCGACCACAAGAGAACCTTCCACAAGAAACCCAACCCTAAGACCCCAGGACGCCCATGGACTTGTGGTGGGGGAGCGTCTCGCTGTCCACAGCAACACTATCGACACCCAAGAAACCCAGGGCACCCGAGAGGCAAGCGGAGTGTTTCTTGGCATGAGCCTCCACTGCAGCACGAGCACCAGGTCCGTGAAAACCCGACCCGTGGGCACGGACTGCTGCGCTCGCGCGCCGCATCCCGCGTTTCTGCATGACCGTGTCCCCGACCCGTCGCCTCGCCCCCCTCCGCCCCAGAAGCTGCAGGGAGCCGTCACTGTCATCCCAGCGCTCCCGAAGCTCAGCATGACGCCATCGGCCAGGACATGGCGCCCGGGACGCCGAGTCCTGGCCGTGTCCTGGCCAGGAACGGGTGCAGTGGGACTCCTGCTGCACCCGCTCCTTCCGTACCCCTTTCGATCGTACCCCGCACTCCGCGGCGCGGGGGGGCGCCTGTGAGCGCCGGGCCCGGCGCCTGGGACGCGCGCGCACGCTCCTCGGCGCGGCGCACCTCGTGGCGCGGGGGCGCGGCCGCCGCAGAGCGCCCAGGTCGGCGTCGGCCGTCGGTCTGCCGGCGGCAGTCGTGCGCCGTCGGACGTCGGTTCTCGGTCGCGGGTCGTGGTCGCCAGTCGCGTTCCTCGGCCGTCGGACGTCCCCGTGCGTCATCGATGTGGATCGGCGTCGCTGTCGTCGCTGATCGCGGTCGTGAACGTGTTCGTCGTCGGCCGCCGAGGACAAGCGTCGTCGCAAATGTTGTCGTCACCCATCGACGCCGTCGTCTCCAGTCGTGGTCGTCCTCGTGGTCGTGTTCGTTGTCGTCGTCGTCATCGTCGAAGCCCGTCAATGCCGTCGTGGTCCGTTGTCGTCTTCGCTGGGTCAGTCAGCCGCCGTCATCGTGGTCGTGGGCGTCGTCATCCGTCGTCCGTCGTCGCCGTCAGCACACAGGTATGTCGGAAAGTTCCGATTGACCCTAATCGTGAGAGTCGTGATCAGAACATGGAACAGTGGAATGAAACTGACGCAAAACATAATGTATCCCATACGGACACATGTGGCCGGCCACCCAGGCCTGAAGCGTCATCGCAAGGCTGGCAGTGGTGATGCCTGCATATGCTGAGGGAGCAGTGAAACAGCACACGCATTTGTTCAATCTGCTCTTGCAGGGCCTCCGTGCCAGCCGATATTGGCTGGACGAGGCGAGAAGCCCAGAAATCCCGAAATCCTGAAAGCCCGAACACCGATGCAGCTGCGTGACGTGTAGGGCGGGGCACTGTCCCCAACTCGTGCCTGCAGGTGAACCTCCCTTGCGACACGACATCCGGGATGGGCATGATTGGCGGAGGCCCACATGCGGACGCCCCCAACAATACCTACATGCGAAGCTCCCTTTTCGGGAGCGGCCAAGGGGGGGGGGCCAAAGAGGGGGGGGTGCAAACCATGACCGGCGGCATGTGCGCGGCCCAGCGGGGGGGCCAGGGACGTAATGAAATAAGAAGGGGCGCCATGAGATCTGGGGAGATATCATGGCCCCCGCCATGATATCCACCCCCCCCCTAGTCATCACCCCCATCTTTTCCGCCCCCGACCTTTGCGGCACGACGCAGCGTGGGCCGGGATGGGCGGAGGCCCGCATGCGGACACCCTCGCTGGGGCCATAGGTGGATCTTCCTATAGCCAACGGTCTGGGCGACGACTGCGCCAGATAGCCAGGTTGGGCCTAGGCCCGCCGGCCCGCCTGCGGACGTCACCGCTGGGGCCGCAGGTGGAGCTCCCTATCGGGAACATCTCCGCCCGCCTTGATGTGCCGAATCGGGCGTCGGCACACATGCGGGGCGCCACCATTCAGGCCGTGGGTGGAGCCCCCCATAGAGTGCACCACCTGTGTGAGTGGTGCACCAAACCGAACAACGCACGAGGGTTGGGAACACCACAGGGGAACCGCGCCGAGGAAGAGGAAGCCACGGAAGCTCTACTGTAGGCCGTCGGAGGTCGAAGTGCACCGAACAAACACAGCCAGACGTCGATGGGCGCTCGCCTCCACAGGTCCAGAGTGGCGCGGCACCTCGAGCGGTGCGGGTTCATGAAACTTCCAGAGGATCCCTCGGGCTGGAGAAATCCGGGTGAACCTTGAGGAGCCCTGAAGAAGAAGTGCGAACAACAATAACGTAAGTACGGTTGCATTCATTCAGGATTCTGGTGGATTTAACAAGATTCACCGAGAACTGCAAGGGCCACTTGAGGACTCCGAACAGTCTCCTGCAGCGGGAGATGATGAACGCCTCTGCTAAAGCGCTGCTTCGACCCCTGCAAGAAGACCCGGCTGGAAGTAACGTTTAGAATTGTGTTCTCCCTCAGTGACGATAGTCTGGGGGTTACAGTTTACTGTACAACCCAGCTGAATATTACCATACAACTACAACAACTACTACTACTACTACGACTACTACCACCATTACTAATACTACTACCATTACTACTGATACTACTACTACTACTACTACTACTACTACTACTACTGCTACTGCTACTACGACTACTACTACTACTACTGCTACTACGACTACTACTACTACTACTACTACTACTACTACTACTACTACTACGACTACTTCTACTACTCCTACTACTACTACTACTCCTACTACTACGACTACTACTACTACTACTCCTACGTCGACTACTACTACTAGTACTACGGCTACTACTACTACTACTACTACTACTACTGCTGCTGCTACTACTACTACTACTACTACGACTACGACTACGACTACGACGACTACTACTACTACTACTACTACTACTAGTACTACTACTGCTACTGCTACTGCTACTACTACTACTACTACTACTGCTGCTACTATTCGTACTACTACTACTACTACTACTATTATTATGTTTACTCCTACTTCTACGATTTCTACGACTACTACCACTACTACCACCACTACTACTACTACTACGACTACTACTACTACTACTACTACTACTCTACTACTACTCTACAACTACAACTACTACTACTACTACGTCGACGACGACGCTACTACTACTACTTGCTACTACGCTCTACTGCTGCTACTACTACTGTTACTACTACTACTACTACTACTACTACTACTACTACTACTAACTACTACTACTACTACTACACTACTACGTACTGCACGACTACTACTACTACGACGACGACTACTACTACTACTACTGCGCTACTCTCCTACTTCTACTACTACTACTACTACTACGACTCCTTACTACTACTACTACTACTCCTACTACTACTACTACTACTAATACTAATGACGACTACTAGACTACTACGACGACTACGACTACTACGACTACAACTACGACTACTACGAACTACTACTACTACTACTACTACTTACTACTACTATACTACTCTGCTTCTAACTGCTGCTGCTGCTGCTGCTGCTACTACTACTACTAATACCACTACTACTACTACTACTACTACTACTACTACTACTACTACTACTACTACTACTACTATTACTACTACTACTACTACTACTACTACTACTACTACTACTACTACTACTACGACTACGACTACGACTACGACTACGGTACTACGACTACGACTAACTGACTACGACTACGACTACGACTACGACTACGACTACGACTACGACTACTACTACGGACTACTACTACTACTAGACTACGACTACGACTACGACTACTACTACGACTACTACTACTACTACTACGACTACGACTACGACTACGACTACGACTACGACTACGACTACGACTACGACTACGACTACGACTACGACTACGACTACGACTACGACTACGACTACGACTACGACTACGACTACTACTACTACTGCTACTACTACTACTACTACTACTACTACTACTACTACTACTACTACTACTACTACTACTACTGCAACCCACAAACACCACCGCAAACCACCACCACAGAGATGGTTCTTCTCCTGGGCGCGGCTTTCAGGCGCCCCAGAGCGATGCAAAGGGCCCCAAGAGGCGCCCTGGACGGTCCAAGAGGGCGCCGAGTCGTCGAACGATCGGCCCGCGACACCCACGATGGCTTCCAGACGGGCCACGACGCGCACGAGACCCCCGAAGAGGCCACCGCGAGCTGAAACGACACCCGAAAACGCGATTCTAAACTTCAGAGAATAATGATAGCAAAGAGACGAGGCGGAAACAGACCGGGGGCGACACCGCTCGAATGACGCGTCGAAGCGAGCTCGCGCGCAAGCCGCGCGCCGAATGCCCAATTTCGGAGCGGGTCGGCGACGCAACAACTTAGGAACAAAGAAAAAACGAAACATTTCGAAACCTAATTTTTCTTGCTTCGGAAACAAAAAATCGTTGCACCAATCCGCTTGGGGGACGCAGCTTCATGACATCTAACTACACGCAGGCAGCACGACGGGAAGCGCCAAACAACACACGAGACATCGGAAGCTGCACGCCATCTCATCTTTGTTTCGACGAGATGGCGTGAGCTACTTGAACACATCCGTATCCAACGCCTGCCGAGTCGATCCAACTGCAGATGGCTATGGGTAAATCCCTGCCTCGGACTGGTCCTACCCTCTGTCCGTCGCCAGCCCCCGATGGCGGGGCCGGCCCAGCCTTCGTCACGGGGGCGCCGCAGGCGGTCAGGAAGTCCACGTATCCGGCCCACAGGCGGCACACCTCCAGCGCCGGCCCCAGAACCACCCCGACCCGATCCCAGCGGGCGACACGAATCGATGGATCGAGGAGGGATCGAGGATCGAGAGATCGAGGGATGTAGGAGGGAGGGATCGACGAGGGATCGAAGATCGAGGGATCGAGGGATCGAGGAGTGAGGGGTCGAGCCCCTGCGGTCCCAATCGACGCTGTGGTGTGGGACGCACCGTCCGGGGGTCATGTGCACGACGGCAAGACCCGTGTCTGACGCGAGATGGCACGGCGAACCTACGCCGAGGCTCACCTGGGCCGCAGGGCTGGCACCGACGGAGCACGGCCGCGCGGGGGGGAAGGGGGGGGGCGCCCCCAGGGCGCGCATTCTGAGCAAGCATCGCGCGCGCGCGTGCATCGCAGGGCATCCTCCCCACCCGTCTCTGGCGCCCCCGCCTCGATCCTCCGCGTGGAGAAGAGGGCACTCACGACTGGCCGTGTGCGGGCAGCGTGCGCGCGGCTGCCCGCGCCGTCGATCACGGAGGAGGAGGAGGAGGAGAAGGAGGGAGGAGGAGGAGGAGGAGGAGGAAGAGGAGGAGGCGGAGGAGGGGGAGGAGGAGGAGGAGGAGGAGGAGGAGGAGGAGAGGAGGAGGAGGAGGAGGAGGAGGAGGAGAGATAGGGGAGGAGGAAGAAGAGGAGGAGGAGGAGGAGGAGGGGGAGGAGGAGGAGGAGGCCGTCGTACATTCGGCTGCACGCCCGAAGGGACTCCAGGCTCCCCGACCTGGGCCCGAGGAGCGGCCGGGCCCCGAGCCCATGCTGAGCCCAGAGCGGCTGCTGCTACCAGCGTCCTGGATGTGCCCTCCTCCGCATGATCAACTCACCCCTTCTCTCCATCCCCCCTCTCTCTATCCCTTCCTGCTCCGCCCGTCGCTCCCTTCCTGCTCCACCCTCCCCCCCTCCATCTCTCCCTCTCTCCTCTCTCTCTCTCTCTCTCGCTGTCTCTCTCTCTCTCTCTCCCTCCTCTCTCTCCCCTCTCTCCCCCCTCTCTCTCTGCCCTCTCTCTCCTCGGTCTCCCCTCTTCCTCCTCTCTCTCCCTCCCTTTTCTCTCTCTCTCTCTATCTCTCCTCTGTTTCCTCTCTCTCTCTCTCCTCTCTCTCTCTCTCTCTCCCCCTCCGCTCTCTCCTCGCTCTCTCTCCCTCCTCTCTCCCCTCTCTCACCTCTTTCTCCCCTTTTCCTCCGCTCCCCTCTCTCTCTCTCTCCTCTCTCTCCCTCATCTCGTTCCTCCCTCTCTCCCCTCTCTCTCTCTCTCTCTCCCTCCTCTCTCTCTCTCCTCTCTCTCTCTCTCTCTCTCTCTCCTCTCCCCCCTCCTCGCCATCGCTCGGACGTCCATTCCGTGCGTGTTTTCCGTCGCGCGTGTATTTTTCGCAAGACGGTCCACGATGCTCCTCGATAGTCTTCGCCGAAGAACAAACACACACGTCCGAGCGACGCCAAGCCTCTCTCCTGTCCTCCCCATCTCTCCCTCCTCGCTTCCTCCTCCTCTCTCTCCCCTGTCCCTCTTCTCTCTCTCTCTCTCTCCCCTCCCTCTCTCTCCTCTCTCCTCCCTCTCTCTCTCTCTGTCTCTGTCTCTCTCTCTCTCTCTCTCTCTCTCTCCTCTCTCTCTCTCTCTCCCCACTCTCTCCCCCCCTCCCAAACGCTCCCTATCGGTGAGGAATAAAACGCGTCTCAAATGCAACCTCCTCTGGTCCGTCCTTGCCTCGGAATCCATAGCCCATTTGACGTTCAAGGGAGCGCCTTCTCACCCCCAGGCAGCGCTGGGAAAGTGAGAATGTGGCCGACGTGTTTCCCCAGAGAGGCACGCTCCCGCATCGAGTTGCAGAAAAAAGGCTCAGCGACAAGACTCTTTCGTCACTCTTGTGGAATCCGGCCTCTAACCAGGCGACGGTCACTCGAGGCCCATGCTGATCACCTCGATTGAGCATTCGTATGTTCGTACTTAGCGAGGCTATTGTTTGGACTGGAGTATTGCACAACGTTGGCGACGTCAGGTTCGTCATCAACAAGGCAGAGGATTGCATCATTGGGCAGCATGATTGCCAGCATCGATACCGACTCCGAGACAGATGCCGACACTTGCGTGCACTAGTGGTTTGCTACCTGGTTGGGCATGCAAACGCAGGTGTTCCTGAAGTCTTTCGTTGGCCTACGCCCTCAGCTCGGACGTCGTCGGCGGAGGCGGCAAGCAACTTCATGTTGACTGTCGTTGGCCTAGAGGCTGTTGGCTCCCAGGAAGCTCGCGCCAGAATGGCAGCAGCGTGGGCGTGGAGCCTGCTGGATGACGCTGTGCTGCTGGGCAGCTGGAAGGCGTTCCTCGTCACGCACCTTTTGATGGTGTCCAGAATCTTACGCATGCGGTGGGAGTTGGCACAGTCCCGGCCTCGACGACCATGGGCTCGTGGATTTCTGCGTGTCATTCCACCTGAGTGGCTTCGGGCAGTTCGCGGCGCGGATTCCGACATGCTTCATGTTTGCAGGGAAGCGGTTGATGGTCCAGTGAGCCTTTTGAGTTCAGCCGCTTATGCCATGGGTTCGTATGCGGGTGTGTATGTCTGGAACGCGGTGCTGGGCTGCCGTGCTATGGCAGGGTTGGGCGGCCGCCTCCGGGAGCACTTGAGGTGTCTCCTCGATCCGCACGCTGTGGCCCTGCTGGCCAGCCGCGCTGCAAACTTCGGAGGAGATGCCTTGGGAAATGCTCATTTCTTCCAACACTTGCCGTACCTTCGGCACCCGGAGCTTTTAAAAGCGCTGGGATCCGGGGAGCCTCGCCCAGTGCGAACCAAGCAGATCAGAGCGAGGTGGTCTCCGTCGAGAACAAGACAGGGAAGTCCAGGGCATTCGCTCGTCGTGCACCCCGTCCTTGACGGCGTCCCCTCGCTTGGAGGAGAGGGCCGCGCAGGCGAACTCCGACATGTTGTTGGCCGCCTGCCTTCCCAACTGCCCCCGCACAGAAGCAGCAGAAGTCGGTAGCTGATCACATTCCTGGAGCTCTTTCAGCCCAAGGGCCTCGAGGAAAAGTCTAACTACAGGTGCCAACAACGTGAGTGGTATGCACTAACGGGGATGATGGGGCCGCTCTTCATCTTCAGTTTCAAGCGCGTGGCTTTACTGTTATCCTGGTGTGCACTCCGACGGAAGAGGCCGTCCGTCCCGAGGTAGTCGAAGACGGTGTTGGCCGACCACCTCTTCCGAACAGCTGTTGACGTCGTACCACCGAGTGTGTTGCAGCGACGCTGTGCTTAGACCTGTTCACGAAAGGTGTCGGGCTGCCCCGTCTGCGTGCTCCAGGTCTCGCACTTCCCCATGACTGTCGTTTGAACCCGTACGCTGGTGTCCTTCGCCGTAGTCTTCCAAATGTTCCTCAGGTGCAACGTTTGAATGCATATCGACGGTGGCTACGCCCTCGAATATGGTTGGCGTACAAAAGGGCTGTCGTCTGGAAGGATGCCGTCTCGGCCCCGAAAGTCTTCAGGACGAAGATGCTGAAGACGTTTCCGATGAGTTTGGATCGCGAGCGTCCACTACCGCCTCTCCGTCTGTCCGCACTTCGAGGGGATTGGCGTCTACCGAACTGGGCTCCATCTGTTCAGGTTGCCAAGCACTTGCGAGAAGCTGTCGACCCTTGGACGGCACGTCTCCGCATTCATCCTCGGCTCCGAGCCCGCGCTGCCCGAACGATGTGGGAAGAGATGGAGTCAGCGGTGCCGCAGGTTCCCCCAGCGCCCCCTGTCTGGAAAGATCCGGAGCAAGTGCTAGAGCTCTCGAGCACCATCGGCAAAGATGCGATGATCGTGGCTGGGGATGAGAGCCCCAATCAAGTTTGGAAGGCTCATTCGGACGACACGTTGCGATACGCTTTTGAGTCGATTGCGTTGGACTCAGCACGGAGGCTCCGTCCAGATGTTTCAGTGCAGCAAGTTCTTGCAAGGCTGCGGGCTCGCGCAAAGCCGAGCCTGCCGGCCTGGCTACGTGGGCGGAGGCAATTGCCGCCCATCGGCTCGCGGACCCGTGCGCCAGCGGCGTTTCCACTGGTCAAAGAAAAATGCTTCGGCGAGTCCGGGAGACCTTGGTGCAGGAAGCCTGGGCACTCATGCCTGCACCGCGTCGTGGGTACAAGCGGATGACCAGGCGCTGTCGGCTACAAGTACGTGGGCCAGGCTGCGCGCGGCATGCTCCATCTGTCAAGATTCGGCGACGAGGTATTCACATTGATGACGCCGTGCTGGCGCTCCGAGCAGCTCGATCTGAGTTGCCAAGCGGGGGCTCGGAGCAATGTCTGGCCTGCCATGCTCCCAAAGAGCTGTTTTCGATCGTGACCGGTGACGAGGGCCAGGCCTACGAGCAGTGCTCCGCGTCCGCAATCGCAATGGCGTGCAAGTACCTGGAGGATTGAGGGTATGTCGGGCGTGTCCCCTTACAGGAGGATTCTCGACGAAAAATAAAAAATACCCCAACAATGCCCCAAAAAGGTAAAAAAATAATCCAAACATAGTCCCCAGACTATTGTTGAACTATTTTTTATATGTTTGTGGGGTATCTTTTATTTTTCGTCGACACTCCCCCTGTAGGGGAACAGGCCCGACTGAAGTCTAGGGCAGCCTGCGTTGTGCAGGCAAATGAAATGGCGCTGTTCCGCGCGGCTGGTTCATGATCAGTGTGGCGGTAATCCAGATGTGCCTCTTCACTTACTGTTGGGTCAGCCTGACGCGCATCCTGGGCCACGTGTACGAGTTGGAGTGAGCATCGTTTTACTGATCCCCATCCCCACCAGCGTGGGCTGGGCCCCACTGGCCGATGTACCCCCCTGGATGGGGTTATAGGCTGCTTTCTTCGGATTTCGAGGAGCATACCCCCAACTGAGATGGCGAGACGGTGGGGCTCGAGTTGTGGATGGGAAAAGAAATAGGGATCGGTTAAACGATACTGATGGAGGGCCTCCCGATAGGAGGCGTGTTGTCTGGCGTATTGTCTGGCGT